TCTTGTACACCTGATGTAAAAGAAAAGCAAATGAAAAGTTCTTTTTAAGTACCCTATTGTTCTTTTCTTTTGTTCTATGCGTTCATTTCTCCAAGTCAGAATCAAAAGGTGTTCTCTACTTTCCTGTGGGGATGTAATTAAGGGGAACAATCCGTATGATTCCCTGAATGGGCCWTACCCAAAATAWTAMAAACTCAATCACTTGATTGAGTGAATTATGTTGCATGAGAATTTTTTAAAATTTTCACACCAACATTTGTTAAGTTGGTTATTTTGTTTTATGCTAAAGCAGGTTGGAGCTATGTTTCAAGCTCTAAAAGGATCACCGCCAATACCGGAAACATTATCACCTGAGGGCAAGGATTTCCTCAGGTGTTGCTTTCAAAGAAACCCTGCAGATAGGCCATCAGCAATCATGTTGTTGGAACATCCTTTTGTGAGAATCTCAAATTATCCAGAAGGTCCAGGTTTCCTGCAAGCATTTTCTGGAATGAAACTAGTGGTAACTCTCTTTCATACAACCAGTTGATGTTCACCCATCTAAGCATTTAAAATGACTGGTAAACTTGTTCTAATATTTCATAAAATATGTTCTTACAGGACAAAGCATATAATACCAGAGAGTGGAATAAACATAAATCTGAGATGGTGTCAACATCTCCAAGCACATCAACTACAAAAGGAAGCATACCATCTAATGGGTAAGCTTCTTGTGCATGATCCCCTGTACTATCTGAGGCCACTAGAACAAATTATGATTCTGAAATGGTACTTTTACATTGCATGACCACTGCATCCGGCTTCATGCAAGATTATTGTTTTTGCTCCAGTGATCAACAATCTCATGCTGAAACTTGCGACTCCGCAGCAGCCTCCCATCATTCTCCTAAATCCATCCTCGAGGCCTTTGGCAGTTTGTCTCCACACTCAAATAGCACACATAATTCCAGACATTCTCAACAATGTAGACTTGCACACTTGGAGCAGCCATTAATATGCCTTCACAAGAGCTTATGGGAGGAAGTCTCACAACTTTACTGACACAGGTTGATCAGATTCATATCTACAACATATTGTTCTCTCATTTGGATCTGGGGAAGACTTGCAAGTTAGTTGCGTAGAGTTAAGAGATGCCTGCATTGAAGCTGCAGTTAGTTCCCAGATCACATGAACAGCAGAACATCTGTAAAAAGTTCTTTCCTGTATCATCAATATTGACACCTGTTGAAGCTACAAGGCCTCATCTTTGATTTTCATAATTATTATTATCATTTTGTGCTGAATGCTGAAGTTCTTTATCCATGCTATGCGGAGAAGATTTTCACATGTATAGGATAGTATCAAATTGACTTTGTAGATATTTAGGTCCTTAGTAGCCAGTCTAATTATTGCATAGCATATAGTTTATCTTCATGTTCTTGTATACGAGGTAGAGGCAGAGCAACCCAAAGGATGAAATTTTCTTTCATTGACAGTTTTGATGTAACTGGCTGTTGTGATTGTCACTAGATTTATATGTTTTTGGATTTGATCAATAAAAAAGACTACCACTTAGGGCTCTCAATATGTTGTTATACAACCCAGAAAGAAATGGGCCCAATATAGGGCTCTCAGTATGTTGTTACCATCAATTTTTTTTTTTTTTTTTGTTACAGCTTTACCCCATCAACGTCACTTGTTCTTTTATTTTGGGAAAGAGTTGCAGTGAGAAAGCTCGACATCACTGATAATGCCACGCATTTAAATATTTAAGCTTTGGATTCTTGCTAAGCTTATGTTGCATGCAAAAGTAGGGCTGCAAATGGGTTGGATCGAATGGGCATACCTAGATTCAAACTAGATTTGTTAATAACTTAATATTCAGGTTTGAAGCAAATCTTATCCATTGGATTTAAATCATATCTCATTGGATTTGGATATTGAATACTATTATTAAGTAAAACAATTATCAAAATATTATATATCATCAATAAAATAACTAAAAAAGTATTTCGATGTGGTATTATCATGAATTATGATTTCAAAATAACTTGAGATTGGAAATTTGGAACCTATCACTATAGTCAACATTCAAACTTTACCAATAGATACATGTTAATTTTACGTAGATATAATAAGCATATTAAAGGATGGAATCAAATTGGTGTTTGATTGGATGCAAATTTGATTTTGATATCGTTTGCAGCCCTTTGCAAAAGCAAGGTTTGCCTATAGTTTTCTTTTCTTTTCTTTTCTTTTTTTTTTTTGCAAAAGAAAGAGAAGCAGCTTAATTACTGATTAGCGAAATTGAACTGTACAGGCTGTGTAGGCCAAGAGCATCTCGATTAGTAGATCTATTTACATATTCAAAAAAGATGGAATGTAAGTTTGACAAAATAGTTCTGATGCTGTTCCAGCCTTCTGAAAGGAAGTTTACTAGTTTGTTAGAGTCATTATATACTATTATACGCTGTAGAGAGATCCGAAGCTTCTTCCAACCCGGCCACGAGGGCCCTCGTTTCTGCATGGACACTGCCCAGCAAAGCTTTTCCTTCCGCAGTGATTTCACCTGAGGCATGTTTGATGATGAATGCTCGTCCTACCTACCCTGCATTGGGGTCAAAATAGCCATCAATATGCAAGCTATTTAAGAAGAGTATTGGTGTAGTCGCAAACACTGGTAGCATATATGCTGTGACAGAATTTACATGGGTGATAGTGAGGTGTTCTCAAAGATTATTTTGTTCCTTGCTTTCCATATTAGATATTAGTAAAATGCAGCCTTTGCCGAAGAGATTTAGACATGTTTCCTTGTCTGTTAGACTTTTAGGCTCTGTTCACTTTTCCGTAAATTATTTATTCGGGTAAATGCATTTACCTAGGTAAATGTTTTCTAAGAAAGACTTACCTAGGTAAGTGCATTTACCCATGTTCTTTTATTTCCCATGTAAATAAGGCAATGACCATTTTAGTCATAAAAATCCAATATTAAAAGGGGCATTTTTATCTCATTCAAGTGTTGACAACCCCCAAAGTTATTTACCCACCTAGGAGATGGGTATTACTTTTCCGAGTAAGTGGTACCCAGGAAAATAAACTTTCTCTAGTCCCCATATAAATCTGAACAAAGAATATGGGATTCTTGGTCAATGGGAACCAAATTCTTTGTTGTGGGAACCAGATTCTTGGTCAATCTGAACAAATAAACTTTCTCTTAAAATCCGAATAAAGAACGCCCCCTCCCATGTTCTTTGTTGTGGGAACCAGGGAAAGTTTATTTTCTTAGGTACCACTTACCTAAGTAAGTAATACCCATCTCCTAGGTGGATAATCACTTTCTCACCTATGGGAAAAGTTGCCAACACTTGAATGGGACAAAAATGCCCTTTTTAATAATGGGTTTTGGTGGTTAAGTTGGTCATTACATTATTTACCTAGGAAATAAAAGAACACGGGTAATTACATTTACCTGCATAAATAACTTACCAAAAAGAGAACAGATGATTCCAACCATTTTGTGATTATCACATGAATTGGCTGGAGTGTTACTTTGTTCGGGTTGAGTCTCACTTGTGCGTGGCACCATATTGCACGAGCATAAGCACAGGTAAAAAACAAGTGATGGGGTGTTTCTAGTGCCTGCTGACAGTGGGAACATTTCCTATCTTCTTAAGAGAGCCAAGCGGAGCATTTATCTTTGGTGAGGATTCCACCCCATTGCAGCTTCCAAACAAAAAGTTGAAATCTGGGTGGGATCTTAGTTTTCCATATCAGTTGTTCGATGTTGAGATCTGAATTAGGTCAGAGGTGCATGATATGATGTAAATGATCTATAAAAATCAGATATTGCAACCGCTGGCAGTTCCAAGTACTGTGATTGTTTAGCAAGTCAGCAACCTTGATGAGATAAGAGATTAGTGTTAGTGGTTGTGATTGGTTTTGGAATTCCACCCTAGATGGTTGGTATCAATGGGTCACAGAATGTATGAATTAACCTGCCATTCTTTTACAACTATAACATACGTGGCTTCAAGTCCTTTAGCAGTTTCAAAGCTTGACGTCACCATCGGGCGCTATTGTGGCCTTTTTTTTGGCACTAAATAAACCTGTGTTTGGGAAATATTTTGCCTTGATAGCCGAGGCCCATAATGAATTTGTGCAGGTCAATCGTCTCCAAATTTATCTGCTGAACAATGCTTTGTTCATTTGCATTCCCTGTTTGAGACCCATTCCATTTCCACCCGAGGGTTTGGGTGAACAAAGCATGCTCTGACCCTCCTTTGTTATCGTGACTGAAGATTTTCCATAATTAATTTTTTGACTCAATAAATTTTCCAACTTTTTGAGTACTTTGGGTCAGAGAGCTTGAACTTGAGAGAGTTTAGCTCTGATGACATCATCTGCAAATAGGTGATGACTAATTTCTGGCCCATTATGACCTATTTTGATGCCTTGTAAGGACCCTTCACTGATTATACCATTGAGGAGTTGGATAAGACTTCCATACCTAGAATGATTAGGTAAGGGGATAAGGGATCTCCCTGTCTTAGTCCTTTCTTAAGATAAATTAAATTACACTATTTTTGACAGAAGTTCATTTTTGATAGTACTTCTCTAATGAATTTCCACCCCAATCTATCAAATAATTGGCACATATCTAGCTTAATAGCAATATACCCTTTCCCTTTTCTTTGTAGTTTCATCTGATGTATGGTTTCTTTTACAAGTAGCTAGGATGTTATCAGTGATTTGTCTACTTTTCAGAAAGTTAAGACTAAAAAGTGAAGATGATGTCCTGTAGAATAGGCTGCATTCTCTAGACTAGCCATTTTGAGATGATCTACGGGTGAGTTGCACTTCAAGATGAATATAACATTTGTGTTCTTAATTTCCTCTGGGAGTTGTTCAAAGTAGTAAAAGTCATTGACCATCTCAAGAATGTCTTGGCTGAGAATATCCCAAAATTGCTAGTAGAGATAAGCAGTAAAACCATCGAGTCCAAAAACCTTGTGAGGGGGTTCATTTGCCTCACCACTTAGTGAAGTTCTTCACAACTTGGCGGGACCAGAAGTGACTTAAGGTGGTTTTGTTAAAGGCGAGGGAGGTTGAGGGAAGCTAGGTGAGTTGGTTTAAAGGATTCAGGTTCCCTCCTATCTGCCAAATGATACTAAAGAAGGATTTAGACACTTCTTTGTGGTATGAGGTCCAATTACCATTCGAGTCTTTGACCCAAATAGTATTATTTTTGACGTATTTTTGTTTAACCATTTGGTGAAAGTATTTTGTATTCTGGTCTTCACCTTTAACCATAGCTTCTTGCATTTAAGCCCTCATAACTATTCTTCTTTTAGGAACTAATAATGGTATTGCTTCTAAAATTTCTGCAGCTTTATGTGGTTGTAATATGAATCGTAGGCCATGTGCAAACTCGAAATTTTCTTATCTAGCTGTCGGAGATGGTCTTAGATAAGGCCAAAACAAGTTTTGTTCCAACTCTTAAGACGTTGTTTACACTCTTTGAGCTTAGTGGTTACCTTGTACCATGGACGACCATGTACACTACTGGACCATGCTTCCTCTATAAGTCTAGATGCATAGTAAATGACCTAGAACATTAAATGAAGGTATTTGTACTAGTCACGTGTGCATTACTTCTACCAAAAATTCAATGGGCATATGTTCATCGCTTATGGGCTTAAAGATTCAAGCAAGAGAAAAAATAGGGGTTGTTTGACAATAGCTGAATTGAATGATTTATTACTTTATCTTGTATAATTCATTAAGTTGGGGGTATTCACCCAGAAAAAGTCATTTAGTTGCGGGAGCGCTTATTGTTGGCTAGATGATCCCAACCATGGTTTAATGTATCAAACAGTTAAAAGTTAAAAGTATGGATATTTTTAGTGCCCGTTTGGGAGGGATTTCGGAACATGACTTCTGACGCTCCGAGTTGGGCTCCACATGGGAATGCCAAAAGTTGTATTTAGTGAAAATTTGGAAAGCCCTTCTCTGGAATACGAGTGCTCAACCACCATGGTTGAATCACCACATTTTTTTTTTTGTTCAGCTCAAGGATCGGACAAATCCATAACAGCACACTCTTGAATCCAAACATAAACAAACTTGACCCTCCAAGCCCTTTTTTTGCCGGCTGATGGGCAACCTTATTCGCATTTCTATTTACAAAGTTGAAATATAGCACCAAAGTTAGGGGTGGCAATTTTTCACCTAATCCGCTGAATCCACCCAACCCATCCGTATATCTAATCTATCTAACCTGCTCATTTACTTGATGGGTTGTGTAGTCAACCCATCACCTAATTTATTTATTTAAATGGGTTGGGTTGTGGATAACCATTGGGTTAACCATCACAAATATATTTAATATTTCTTAGCCTTTTTTTTTAATTTTCTTCATTTGAATTAAATAATTTATAATTAATGCATTAATTTTCTATTAATTATTGACTAAAATTAGTTTTGTCTTGAATCAACACACTTCACCCAACATAAATCCAAATCAATTTGATCCGAGTTCGGATTAGTTCAACGCGGTCTAACCCCAATCCAGCATTATACCGATCT